CTCCTCATCGAGATGGACAGGCTCTAGCTCCTCTGACGGTGTTGGTCTAGTATCCAGCTCGTCCCTCATATCTAGTTCATCTAGCTGAACATTCTCGACTTCCTTCTATTTCATCGAGGTCATGTAACACTTCCTCGCTACCCGCTGGTCTCCTCGGACCACTCCAAATCTATTTTTCGTAGGAAATTTCATCACCAAGTGATAGGCAGAGGGAATTGCCTTCATCGCGTTGAGGGAGGGCCTCCCGAGAAGCATATTATATGCAGACGGGGCATCCACCACTAGGAATCTCACTGTGGTGGTGGCCTGGCAGGGAGGATCTCCCATGGTGAGAACGAGCTGGATTGAGCCCAGGGGTAATACCCTTTCTCCTGCGAAACACAACAGGTGAGCACTGACCGACTCCAGCTTTTCCTAACCTATATCCATTTTGTCAAACGCAGAAGCGAATATGATATCTACTGAGTTACCGTTGTTAATTAAAACTCGATAAACAGTTCTATTAGCCACAACAGCTTTGACCAGTAGTGGATCATCATGGGGGTGCTGATAGCCTTCTAAATCTGAGTCTGAAAAGGTAATAGTCATGTTCAGCCGAGGCGCCTTGGACACTGTGCGTATTTCCAATGCTTCGCCAGCTCTGATTCTACACATGTGAGCCTTTCGGGCAGAACTGGACTCCCTACCCCCGGCGAACCCACCAGAAATTACTCTGATTTCGCCCAGGGGTTGTTGGTGTAATGCAGGAGCTTGTTGCTGAGGTGGTAGAGGTGGAGGGGCTCGGTCCTGATTATCCCGAGCTACATAACGGTGTAACTGACCCCTCCGGATTAGGAATTCAATCTCTTTCTTCAATTGGATGCAATCATTAGTATGGTGGTCATGATCTCTATGGTATTCGCAATACTTTGTGGGATCCCTCTTTGTTGGGTCTGCTTTCATTCGAGGTGGCCATCTTAGAAACTTCTCTCTCTACACCTCGTATAAGATCTGAGATATCGTTGCGGTGAGTGGGGAGAGCTGCCGAGGTGCGTACCTTGACTGTAGCTCTAGCCGTGGCAGACCTAAGCGATCTCTGACATCTCCCCTCCTTTTGGGGGAACGATCTATGTCCCTTCTTGGAGACCTATCTCGTCCTCTATCTCTGTTGGGACTTCGGTCCCTTTTTCTTTCCTCTTTTCCTTTGTCTTTTTGCGTAGATGAACTTCCCACTTTTGAGAGAAGGGCCTCTTAACTGTTTATGTATTTTTATGCCTTAGCCAACACCTCGGCCATGCTTGCCTGAAGGTTCTTTAAAATAGAGAACATCAGATCTTTGAACTGTACTCCTAGACCAGCTATAAAGGTTGTAATGGCGAACTTCTCATCTGGGACATCCACTTTTAGTGATTCCGAGTTGAACCGCTGGACATAAGACCTAAGGTTCTCTTGGGGTCCCTGTTTCACGTTCAATAAGTGATAGCTTGGCTTTCAGTGTATCCGAGCTCCTATGAAGTCAGACACGAAGGATATAGACAGTTCTTTAAAGGAGGAGATTGAGGCCGGGGGGAGCCTATTGAACCATGTCAGGGCTGACCTTTTTAGCGTGATGGCAAAGGCTCTACAGCGCACTGGATCTTGGTATCCATGGAGCTCCATCTGATTTTTATAAGTATTTAGGTGGTCCACGGGGTCCTTTGTCTCATCAAAAGCTTCTATCTATGGCATTCTGAATTTTGGTGGGTGGGGAAAATGCAACACCCCTGTAGAGAATGGCGACTCGGTTGTTGTACCAGGGCATCCATTGTAACTGGAACCTTGTTCTTCACAACTTCCTTCATATGACTGAGCTCTTGTTGGATACCATTGAAACACTGCTCACAATACTGCTCTCTCTTCTCCTGTTTATAGGGAAAAAATCATTCCTTTCATCCCCAATGTTTTGACTTTGCACCTCTTCGTTGCGTCCATTCCTGGGGGGTGGATGAGGATCTTGCCCCCAGGTTTGACTATTTTTCCCTCCTTCACCAACTTCTCTGAGGGGGTTGAGATGTTGTTGCCCTCCTTGAGGGGGGTTATTCTGGCCTTCTTGGGCCGGTCATGCCTCCTCAGGGCATTGTAAGAGCTTTAAGAGCTCTTCATTCTGCTGTATTAGACGTTGATTAACTAGACGAAGAGCCTCAAACTCATTATTTGAGTGAGGATGCCCCATTGGGATGCTTTCAAGCTGTTTATCATTGGCGGTTTCCTGCTGTTCTTGCATTCGTGGTAGATTAGTCTGGCTTCTGCTCATGTTACGGGTTGAAACCATCAGTCACTGAAAGATCAGCGTATTTGTAACAGGAACAATCGTTCCCACAGACGACACCAAACTCAGGGTGCAAATCAACGTGGGTGAGCAGAAAGTGCAGGTGACGTGTGATGATCGTGGATCAGAGCTACAAGACTCGTGTGTGATGCTGGAGTGTAATGCTGAGGGGATTTGAGGGGTGCACACAATGTAGATATAGTGGAGGCTAGTCCACTTCTTCAATGGAAGCTCTTGCTCCCTCTCTTTTATTCACCACTCTAATGTGTTACAATTCAGTATATATCGAAATTAGGGTTTATTTTTTTCTCTACCCCATCTATGGAGGCGTTACATAGTATTTATAGGACTATTTCTCATTCTGTCGAATCTCAGCCAAGATCTCTGCCAGCCATTAGTGGGATTCTCTTTGATTTTAGGAGAGAATTTCGGTTGGTTGAGAGTTTCATGCCTTGAACCCAACTTTTGCAGTTATCCAGTTGTTCTCTAGTCTGTCCCGCTATCATCTCCCTAAGGGGAGCTCTGGCCTCGGACTTTTGAGCTCCTAGTATTCTATTAGACCTCTTGACCTGACCTTGTTTCCCGAGCTCGCTCTTATGGCTTATTCGAGGTATCATCAAATTAAAAATTTATTTTCCGATATCGAAGAAATCAAGTTTATAAATGAACTAGGGAAAAAACTAAATAACATTTCTCAAACATAAATGTTAAATCAATCTAAACCTGAAACTCAACAAATTAATCAAAACTTATGAGATAAAAGTTTTAATTATTACAAGTGATCATAATCAACTTAACTATGAGAATAAGTCTTTCCATAAAAGGGATAATGATATTGACAAAGTTAATAAAGAAAGCCACCCTACCAACTCCACTAAATTATTTATAGAAAAAGGCAAAAGGTCTATCAAATGCTTAATCAAAAGGCAAGATAAAACTCTTTCTCCCAATGGTTATAGAGTTATGAATAAGTTAAGTATAAAAAATTTGACTAAGTCACAAACATTAATTCTTGATCTTGTAGATAAAATCCAAGATCCAGATTTTAAGAGAAAAGTTATTGAACAATATTTAGAAATAAATCCAGAAGGGTTTGTTTGGTTAGCAAGAAAAAGGTGATGGAAAGTGAAAGAGGTAGAAAGTGAAGTGAAAGAAAATATATTTTCATGCATGTATTTAGTTAGCATGAAAAACTTTTAAGAAAATTTTAAAACAATCTCATTCCAATATTTAAAAAAATAGAAAGTTATAAGAAAAATTTTCTAATTGTCTAAATTATCCTTAAGTATTTTAACTCTATCTAAAGAAGAAAAACATATTTTTTATTATTCAAATTTTTGAAAAATTGACTCCTAACCTAATTCAGGAACAAAGAACAACTCGAACCTTAATCTCTATACCAAATTATATGATTAGCCTAATTTGTGCATATTTTTTTAAAACTAATAACTAATTAAATATTTTAAGAAAAATAAGGGTAAAATAGAAAGTTAAGTTATTGAATACAACTTTATTACTTTTTCTTGTGTTTTTTATAAGAAAAAAAAGTTAGTTAGATGTGAGAAAATCTAAACATGAGAGAAAATTATTTTTTCTATCATTTTCTATTTCATGCTAAACAAACGCATGTAAAATTTTAAAATTTTCTCTTTCTTATATTTTCTAGCATTTTCTTCCTAAACAAACGGACCAGAAGAAAAAAGACTTCATATATCTCAGTTTTATTCCTTAAAAGAAGTTTTTAATATGACCGAAATCATGATTGAAAATCCACCACATTAAAAAGAGGTTTCTTTCACTACGATACAAAGACTTAAGAAAAGATTCGTTATCTAAAAGATAACATTCGATTTTTCTTTGAAAAATCTTGACAGATAACATTATTATATATGATTTACTTGAATACAAATTTACATATTATTGAATGATTTTTTTTTGAAAATTATTTTATTTTTTTTTTTTTTTTGACTTGTAAAAATGTAGATCTTTATATTTTTAAATTTTTTTATGTTATATTATGTTATGTTACATTATGTTGTATTGCATGATGTTGTGTTGAATTTACATGGGAGACAAACTTTTAATTATATTATGTTGGATTATGTTGTACACAAAATAATAATTATATTATGTTGAATTATGTTGTAGATGACAAATTTTTAATTATGTTATAATATTTTATAATTATGTTGGATTATTTAAAATATTAAATTTATTTAAAATTTTAAATTATGTTAACTTGGGCTTGAGTTTGAGCGGATAAGGTGGACGAGAAGTGAGTGCAGGGGACAAAGTGGGAACAAAGATTACAAATTTACCAGTGTACGAGGATAGAGATGAAAAATATACCCATTAACAGGCAGAGGATGTACATACTTTTTTTAAACAAGTACAAGAATGAATACTACACTCTCACCCCGCTTCAATCCACTGTCATCCCTAATTTTTACATTGTATTGCATCACCCTTCCTTTTAAGAATAGGCTAGGCATTGTTGCTGCATTAAATTAAATAAATTAATTAATTAAAGTTCACGAGAATAGAAGTCATAGATTGACACCATCTTGTACAAACTGAAATTTCATAGCAAAATCACTCTGATTTGATTATTTCTAATTTCTACATTTGTTCTTTTGCTCTTAAAATCTAGTTGTATAAATAAGCCAATACAACCCCCCCCCCCCCCCCCCCCCCTCGCCCTCCTCTTCCAAAAAAACAGAAAAAAAACCCCCAAAAACCTGGTACAGCACAAAGTTAGAACACAACATCATCTTCATTCCTTTTGCCAGCCAAGCTGACAATTTTTGAGTAAAATCACGAGTTCCTTCCCTTCTGCACATTGACAGAGGCAGCATCACCAGTCTGCCACGAAAATCGAAGGAAACTCTAACAAGAACAAATCCATGATCCACTCCTACACCACGAGACGGGATGACAGCATGCGATCATGAAACTCGGGCAAACGTACAAATGAACAGTCATGGAACCAGCCCCTATTATGGCAACCTCTACATTCCACTTCCTCTTCTTTCATCCATGAATGTCTCCTGGCGAAGAAACGTACTCTAAAATCGTCACTCTAAATCTCTTCTTCGAAGATGAGTTCAATAAATTGAATGTGCCTCTGTATGTTCCAACATCCTTATAGTGGGTATTAGAATATCGAAGAATGAAGCCCATCTCTCTGAGAGGCAAGCCATCCATTTAAGAACTGCGGATTTTTCTCGTCAAACTTCATAATCCGTATCAACATTATTATGCGATGTTGATTGCTTAACCAGCCTACCTACTTCATCATACTGATCAAGATTCTCACATGGGGCAGGGAAAATTCTTCCAATCACACGGCCTTGAACATACGCACACTGGAAGATACGCTTCTTTTTGTATGTTATTCCCACTGACATGTCCTGGAAAGTAACATTCCTCACTGGAATCTCTGAGCTGCCATAGATGCGGACCGGTATACGAACCCCCTGACCACGGATTCCAATGAAGCTTATGTCCTCAATAATTGGAAGGGCTTTGGGGTCGTAACCTTCATCTGGGTGCTCGTTGTAATCGGTTTTTATCACAACCCCCACCCGAACATTATTTAGTGTGAGGTTCCGATATGTGATATGCCGAACTTGACCCCCCCTGCCAGGGCTGGTCTTAATCCGAATAGCCCTTTTTGAGTTCCAAACAAGGAGATTCTCCACAGAGATATTTGAAACTCCACCGGACATTTCACTACCAATTGATACTCCAGCACTGCCAAGAATGTAAGAAGCTTCAAAAAATATTTAAGACATGGAAACTTCAGAGTGAAGAACTTCAATAAAGTAACTGCCCCACAATGCTTTGTTCACTCTTTGTGGCCTCCAATGCTCTTTCAATGATAAGTATGCTTTTTTTATCATGGGTTCAAAACATTCATACTCGGGATATACTGATGGCCAGTTCAGGCAAAAAAGTACCATTCATATTTTGAAAACCAAGTCATGCACATTTCAACGAGTGAGCACGCTCGAATTTAAAATTTAACAGTAATATAGAAAAATGGTAACCAAGTGCAGTGTATACACATGCAATTCACATGTCTTGACAACAAATTCGAGAATGCATCATCCTCAAGGGAATTTGCACAACGCATGCATGCAAGGCATGCCATTTGCCAAGTACACATGCCTTCAGTTAATAGCTTGTGCTTAAAAACAAGTAAACAACAGATAACATATAGGCAATAAAAGCTGGATTAGAATTTTGATATAGAACAACTGTCACCTTATCATTGAGCGTACCACGACATTACGGATACGAATGTTAGTGGAAGGCCGGCCATAAGCAATTCCATACTGATCCCAACCGCTCTTTATAGCAATTCCATCATCCCCAACACTTATATAACAATCCTCTATCACCATATCCTCACATGAATCTGCATGGTTTCAGCACCGATCTCAACTCCAAACACTCAAAATGTGAGTTTTTTTTCTTTTAAGAAAAGCTAGAGCATATTAGGGTCAGCAAACATCATGCAATGGGGTCATCCATTGTACCGTGAGTTTGGTAGCAAAGAATAAATGGGACATCATTTCACATGGAGTAGTATTCCCCTGGTAAGTGGTATTCCCATCTGTTAGAATTACATGTATTAGAATCTCGTGTTTAAACTTCGAGGCTCTTTCAATCAAAATCCTCGTTCTAACCTTGTCCTCAACCCATAACTCCATAAGAGTATGCCCCTAGTCATCGCAAAGATTGGTTGGGAGACTTTCATAAATAGAGCAATAAATATTTCTTGAAACATTCACAGCAATGACACCATATTTTCCTTCACAGAACATACACAAGTCAAATAAATTCAACTCAACAAGCAACCATTTTTAATGGAATTGAAAATTTGAGAGTACTCTAACCTGGACTTCAAAGAAAAGTCAATGTATTTAGAGGAACAAAAACAAAATGCAAGAATGTTTTTGTTATAACTCTAAAAGACCTATTGAACTACAAGGTATATATTAATTTTTTCGTCCCATATCAACTGCCATAGTGTGTCAGACTTGTACATTGCATGCACATCCTGTTGTGCTTCCAAGTGGCCCAATACTACAGTTTAACGCAAAATAGCCATTTTCTTATCGGAAGAGGAACTTAAGGTCTCAAGATAATTCTGAAACTTCTAAACAGATTACTATTTCCAGCCATGGCTGATGATAATGTTAGGCAGGTAGATTCTGTTTCATTTCCCTGCCAGAATGATGCTATTAAGCAACTCTGACTTTAAACCAGTGCGCCACAGGCTACGAGGTATATGCTTATTTAGGGACCAGAGAGTTACATGCAGCATTGTGGCTCATCATATAATCGAATGGAAAGAATGACTAAAAGCACGAGTAATGCAAATATACCAGGATCTATTCCATCGGTGTTTGGGGCGTCAAACAACGGAGCCAAGATAGTAATATTTCTAATAGTAACATTCTGGCAATCATAAGGGTGGAGCGTCCAGAATGGAGAATCACGCAAAGTAATGTCAGATATTTGAATGTCTCTTGACCACATAATCTGCACAAGGGGGCCCCTCGTGTGCTTGAGAAGCTTCTTACGATACTTCTTCCACCACGTTTGACCTTGTCCATTGATAGTACCATTATGTCCTGTTGGTCAATTATAGAACCATTACCATCAGAGCTCACTTTTTGAATTAGAATGAAGTGATATATTGCTTCTTTCAACCATATTTGGCTAAAGCGGAGCATATGGAATCCAAGATCCAACGTCGACAACCAGAGAAAGATGCCTCTTTAATCCCGATAATAAACTAATAATGAGCATCAATTCAACCTTAAAATGGACACAAGAAGAAAGAAACAAAACATACTTATGAAGTTACACAATTCCTATAGGCAAACCTGAAGCAACTTAAATTTCCTTTTGCTAAGGATATCACTTCATACCAGTCATCAGTAGGCATTCCGAATATTCCAGAGTGTTGCCTTTGGGTATTAAATTTTTAACGCGAATAACACCGAAAAGGGGATTTATACTCGCACTGATCATTAGACAATGACACTATATCTCTTACTCCTCTTTTTATGTTAACTACTCTGAGCTCACCCCCAGTTGTTTAGCTTATAGGGAATCTCAGTATCCTACCTAAGGTGCAGAGTCCAAATCTGAACAAAGGAAACTCTCTGCATGCAAGCTGGTGCAAGGTCTAATCCAGTAAGAACTTTCCAGGATGATTGGCGGATTTGTGAAGCACAATCACGGGATAGGTCTTGACATGTTCTAATCAGATTAAACATCAGTTTTCAACAGTTTTAACAGTTAACTAGAACCTCGGAACCTCGTCATAATAAACAGGTTGAGACTTTGAACCCTTTCACATCAAAAATAGCAAGAAATCCTCTATTGCTAAACTGTACTTCCAGTTTCTAAGTCTTATTCTGATATACTTTTATGGTTCTCTTAAAATTGGTGAACAGGCAGAGCTTTTGGACTTGGATGTAAAAGATTTAACACCAAAATATGAGGAGCAGATCAAAATGCCATTAACCTGACCTGTTATGATAACGTCCTTTAAATTTTGACCATGGATTAGACTTCCATAACGAGGTCCACGATGCTCTCTTCCATATCCATATGATGGCAAAGGAGGCATCAATGGCCAATACTTCTCATCCTGTTATATGAGATCCATGAGAACAATATACAAGAAAAGGTCAAGAAAACAATAACTACGATGTGAATTAATGATTTCCGTTCTCAACTGATCCAAACTATAACACCCACGGATCATAATTTCATTTCAGTACATTGTTTCAATCACCTAGTAAACGATTCAGAACAAAAATGTTTTGAAAACACAATAAGAAAATTTATTTCGGAAACATGATCGAAACCCTACAAAACATTGCAAGGCGCATTCAAACATTCCAAAACACCTTACAACTTAAGAATTTTGATATCTCTCCTTCGTTTCCAGTTTTATTTACCCTTTCAAAATAAAATTTTGATCCTCATAACATCATATTTCAGGAAGAGATTAGAAATCCATTCCAGACAGTCTTCTGACTACGGATCTAACAGTATAAAACCTGTACTAATTCATGTACTGATGAAAGCTGGCTTTTATTGACGGATATAACGTACTAGTTTTGCCTCTTTGCACTCCCTCCACATACTCCAACACTTACCCTCCAATTTACACACTATTTTCTTACATTTTATCGCGACCCAAACAGAGGGCTCGAAAACAAAGAACATAAACAACAGAAGGGAGGGTACGTACGTCAATTCCAAGTATAACGGCATTTTCAGCAAGAAAGAGAGTCATGTGGCTCGTGAGATCAAAAGGCGCGGTAAGCCAAACCCCAGGTTGAACGTTGAGCTGACCGCCACCTCGCTTTTCGATTTCCGACACTGCCCTCTCAAATGCTCTTGTATTTACTGTCACGCCATCGCCAACTGCTCCGAAATCGGTCAAGTTGAAGACCACAGGACGTAGCTTCGGGATGGGCCTCGTCGGCGGCGAAGACCAGCGACGGAACGTTAAGATCCGATCTACGGCTGTGCGTTGCCATATGATGATCAGAAAGAATCCAAGGGTCCAAATGAGAGTGAGAAATGATGGGATTAAACGCTTGTAATCGAGTGTGCTGCGATGGTGGAATCTGGAAGTTTCCGCCATGATTGAAAGGGAAAATTACGGAAAGACCATGAGATTGAGGGGTTTGAATAAATGAAATTTGAGGGCAAAATAAGGAATTGTGGAGTGGAGAGGCGTTGCAGAGCAGGTGAGCTGGTTAATGAAACAATGGAGATTGAATCATTTGATTCCGTCTGTAAACTGAAGAAGATGGTGTAAAGAAAAAGGGAAAATGACACTTGTACCCCCAATTTTTTTAATATTTTTTATTTATATCTTTAAAATTTAATTTATCTAATATTAGAGTCAGAAAGTTGAATTCTCAATACAATAACAGTTAAAATTTTATCTAATTTTCATCTATTTTAATTCAATAATATAAAATTTATCCCCAAATTTTTTTTCTACACAATCCTAATGTCAAACTACTCAACCGACATATTTCTCAATATCAAACAACTTCACTAATAAATACTTATCTTTTTCTTCTCTCTCCTCTATTTCTCTCTTATTTTTTGTCTGATCACTTTAATTTTTAATTAAATAATAAAATAAAATAATGATTATTTAAAATATAAAATATTATACAATTCGATTTTTAATATTATAGAGTGTTTTTAAGCGCAGAGTAATAGTTGCAATGTGGGCTCACACCAACTTCTAATATTCTTTGCATTAAATCCACATAGAAAATATCTTTAAATGTATAAATTAGAAGTTTTAAAATCTTTGGGCCACAAAGTGCGATTCTCTCGAAGGAAAATTGAGGGACTCTTTGTTTTGTTTTATGTTTTTATTTTTAATTTTTTTAAAAATGAAAACAAAAATATGTTTGGATACTGTTTTTATTTTTAGTTTATATTAGTTGTTTTGAAAAAAATAGGGACAAAGGCAAAATAATGGGAACAAAAAATTTGTCTGATGTGCTAATTTTATTGTCAATGGCACTAAGCTATTAGATTGTTTTCCTCATTCAAGCCTTTGAGCATATTTGTTTTCCATTTTGCCTCTGCAAATGATGGTCCTTGTGTTGTTGCTGGACTGATAAGGACAGGGCAACGACACTGCTAAGGTTACATGATGAAAATTCAGTGGGTGATATATATAAAAAATTTAAGCAACATGGGCAAATTGTAGTGTATGGGGCCGTTTGTTTAGGTTTTCTTTGGTGAATTAGTTGATGTTTTGGGTTAAGGAATTTTTGGATTTGTATTTTGTTGTATGTGATATTATAAAACATATTTAGAATAAAATTTGAAATAGTTACCAAACATGTTTTTTGTTTTTATTCTCATAATTTAATAGGTAAAATGACTCTCAAACATATTTTTTATTTCAGTATTTATCATAAAATAGAGACAAGAATTGTCTCTGTTTTTAATTTTTTTGAAGACACGAAAAATAAAAACGTTACTAAACGACTCATGAATTTCAATGATTCTTCTCAGTTGTTGTTCGGATTTTGTTGGGTTTGCTCCATTTCTGGGCCGGTCATATATGATACTGGGCTTCTTGATTGGACTCACATATTTTGAATGTCACAAAACTATGAAAATGTACACTATACATTAGTTATTTGTGTAGAAGTATTTTAATATAAATTTTTTGTATATAAGTTCTTTTTTGTATAAATGTTTTGTGAACAAATGCACTTTAACTTTTTTTAAATATTTCATTTACATAAAAGCACTTTTTTTTTATTCGTAGAAGATAATTTAGGCAGTTAATTGTTGTATTCAGTTTCCTATTTTATTGGAATAATTTTTTTATTTGTTTGATTTAATTTTAATGGTTAAGTGATTTTTTAAATTAAAGAATAATTATTTGTTTCAATTTTGAAAGGATTTCATTAGTTTTAAAAGATTTCCTATTATCTCTCTGTATATTGACTCTCACCATTAATATCTCTCCCTTTCTCTCTCTTTCTACCTCTATTTCTCTCTCCCATAGTTACTCTCTTTTCCCTATTCTCTTTCTTTCTCTCATCTTTATTTTCTCTCTCTGTTTATGCAGTGTTACATTTAAGTCATATTGTGTGATACTCATCCAATGCAAATACACTACATATGATGTTTGTTTTACAGTGTGACATTGGAGTCACACTTTTGATGCTCACACCATGACAAAACAATGCATATGATGTGTAGTTGCATTGTGACATTAGATTCACAGTGTAATTCTCACCATGTGTTTTTGAATCTTTATGTGATGTGTGTATAAAATGTGACATTGGAGTCACAGTGTGATATCATCTATGTGTAAATCTAGTATATGGTGTCTACATGTAATGTGACATTAATGTCACATTTGTGATGCCCACAATGTGTCAATCTCTTGATCACACTATGATACTTTTCATGTGCTAAAACATGTATTAGGACATTGATGTCATATTATAATGTTCATTGTGGTCCAACTTTGTATATGTATTTTATAAACAGTGTGACATTTGTGTCACAATATGTGTCACAATTTTGTTGTCACAAAATATATATAGAGAGAAAAATAATCCTTATCTTAGCTTTATATGAGAGAGAGAGAATGAAATGGTTCTAATATAAGAAAATCCTAAAATTTAAGAATTTTAAAACTAATTGGAAAATATTTCAAATTAAGAAATTTAAAAATTATTTAAGTCTTGTATATGTGTGTGTGTATAAGAAAACTCTAAAATTTAAGGGTTTGTTTGCTTTGTATCTCAAAAAATAGTGTTTGAAAATAATTTTCGAGTATTAGTTTAGAAAAATATTTTTGATGGTTTTTTTAGACGAACAACTTGTTTGGTTATATGATTTCAAAGACAGTTTTATGGGAAAAAAAAATAATGAAACATGTGTTGGCTTGAGTGTTTCATATAAAAATTTTCTAATAAATTAAACTTCATAAAATAAAAAAAAATAAAAGAAATTTTGGCCTCAACATACACCATCACAGTGGCTTCAACATACCCAAATCTTTGATTCACACACAGAAAATTCAATAAACCCAAATCATTAACGACAAAAATCCAACACACCGTTCAAACAAATAAAAAATTCACAATAATCCAAGCAACAATACATCTGAGATGATTCCTTGAAGCCACATGATTTAGCACAAAAAAGAAAAAAAAAATCAAAGGGAATCGAACCCATATCTGAAGGACATCAACCCAAATCTGAAGAAGATCAACTCATATCTCAAGAAGGGCAACCCAGATCTAAAGGAGATCGACCCAAATTTGAAGAAAACTTGACAAAAAAAAAAACGCTGAAAATCTTTTCGTTAGAGATCGTCGAAGGAACCCAAATCTAGAGTCAATGCTGGAGAGAGAGAGAGAGAGAAAGAGAGCGAGAGAAAGGGAGGCTTGAAGATGTTATGTTTGTGTATTTCAAGACGATGCTTTCTCCAGAGATCGCGAATAAGACACTGTGTGTGTATAGGTGTGTTTTGTCTGGTTTCGTCGAAGTGGAAAGGGAGAAAGAGAGGAAGAAAGGCAAAACAAAAAATCTTTTTATATTAGGATCTATTTTGTTGTTGAGGAAGTTCGAAGGGGAGACTTCATTAAAGAGAGAGGAGTGTTCTCCGTGTTTTCACAATTCTCAAATGAGTTTAACAAAAATCTACAAAACAACTAATTCTTGTTCTCTATTTTTTGTTCTCATTTCCTAATTTTTAAAAAATTTATTTTTGAAAATTGCTAACCAAACAAAATCTCACAAAAATTTGTGTTTTTAGAACAAAAAACTGGTTTTAAGATACAAATCAACACCACCTAAGAGTTTTAGTTTTCAAATTAATTGGTTTCCTTATCTGATTTTTTCAATAGTGATGTGATGATGTTAGGGATACTTTGGTCCCTCTGCTCCAAAGTGCACTTTTTGTCAAATATTTTTTAAGTACTTAAAGTCAAATAAGTTATAAAAAGTGTATCAACTTCCAAAAAATCCATCTCTATATGGTCAGTCTGTAAAAAGTGCATAATATGACCCACACTTTTAGTATTTGTTGCCCCTGAAAGACAAGAAAATATTGGGTATAATGGTTACGCTACGTCAGCAAGGTCACGTCGTGTAATCGTTCACTAATAAGTGACCAATTCTGTGAGTGAATTCTACAAAAAATCATAACCGCTCAATCACGTAATACATAAGCAATTCCATGTATGGAAAATAGGGTCCATTTAGTAGTTTTTCTATTGAATGATTACAGCTATGTAGCACTGCTAACATAATTTAACCATTACACCCAATATTTACTCCCAAAAGAGACCATTAGAGGTGCAATTGAACCAAAATGAGTCTAGAATGAGATTGTGTAAATCCAAATTCTCAAACAAGCCACTTCATAAAAGCTATAAAAAAAATACATTCGTAGTTAGCCTAATAACACCCTCTGCCTCCTTGTACTAATGTGTGATAAAAAAAAATTTAAAAGCTAGAAAAAGAGCAATGAAAAAGTGTCTCTTCATAAAGATATTGATGGGACATTTCTAAGACATTAGCAGAAACCAACACGTGTCCTTGGCACAAGAGCCCTCAGAATGCTTGAATTGCAACACCTATCCTCGGCGTTATAAACATGGAGGTCCCAAAGGCTAACACGTGTCCTCGACATCCATACCCTCAGAGCACTATTATTGAGACATGTATCCTCGACACTAAAGGTCCCTCGGACCCATAAGCGATGGACATGTGTCCTCGGCACTAATGATTTCCTCGGTGCCATCTGCAAGTGACACGTGTCCTTGGCATATGTCACATTGGAGAGTCTAGATTGTGACACGTGTCCTCGGCGTGACTGACTCCCCCAAGGCCTGTTACCTAACACGTTATCTCAGCTTACGGATCCTGAGGCAGAGGTGTCAGAATGACGACTATCGTTACTTGGAGTTAAACTAGGTCAAGAATCATTGATTCGTCTTCCCAAAGCAGTCAGAATGGCAGAGATGACAGACCCACACCCAATGACAATGTTACACGTGGCAAAGAGCCTAGAAGCAAGAGCCAATAGACGAATATGACCTCACTCATGCGCAGCCATTGCAGTGAAGCATTAAATAATCCCTCAGGGGGATGGGATGTAGTAAATGCTTGAAAAGCCTAGAAGGAAGAGCATTAAGTGCTCAAGATCCCAAGTATTTAATGTCTGAGCCTCTTCCACACAAAATGGAAGGTGCGCTGTCTA